GGGTGACAACTCTGCTCCTCCATAGACAGAGTGAAATGAAGGGTGTCATGATAGGACAAGGAGGTGTGTTACTGGCAGGAGAAACATGAAAAAGAAAGCTAAAGCAGCCATCACATCTAAAGACTGGTGACCGGCCATATATGAACTAGAACGGTGTTACATAGGTATGCAGCATGGCACAGAGCGTACCGAGTATGCTGTGAGTCCTCGCTCGCCCCCTCAATCTCCAGCGGCAAAGTCAGCACATATATGTCCAACATTACGCTCAGATCTCCCAGAGAGATGCTTTGTAGTGTCTCACTGTTCTCAAGACATCCAATAACTTCACCTGGAAAACAACAGGAAAAGGCATCACAAAGGCATCAGCTTACATCTGAAACAGTAAGAAAGATTATAACAGTGTCAGGCTGACAACACCAACTCAGATTTCAGCATTGGAGAGGAATCGTTGTCAGCCAATACCAAGCACGCTTCTTATCAGCCAATAAATACCAAGCATGCTTCTTGTCAGCCAATAAATACCAAGCGCGCTTCTTGTCAGCCAATAAATACCAAGCGCGCTTCTTGTCAGCCAATAAATACCAAGCGCGCTTCTTGTCAGCCAATAAATACCAAGCGCGCTTCTTGTCAGCCAATAAATACCAAGCGCGCTTCTTGTCAGCCAATAAATACCAAGCGCGCTTCTTGTCAGCCAATAAATACCAAGCGCGCTTCTTGTCAGCCAATAAATACCAAGAGCGCTTCTTGTCAGCCAATAAATACCAAGAGCGCTTCTTGTCAGCCAATAAATACCAAGCACGCTTCTTGTCAGCCAATAAATACCAAGAGCGCTTCTTGTCAGCCAATAAATACCAAGCGCGCTTCTTGTCAGCCAATAAATACCAAGCGCGCTTCTTGCCAGCCAATAAATACCAAGCGCGCTTCTTGACAGCCAATAAATACCAAGCGCGCTTCTTGACAGCCAATAAATACCAAGCGCGCTTCTTGACAGCCAATAAATACCAAGCGCGCTTCTTGCCAGCCAATAAATACCAAGCGCGCTTCTTGCCAGCCAATAAATAGCAAGCGCGCTTCTTGCCAGCCAATAAATAGCAAGCGCGCTTCTTGCCAGCCAATAAAAAGCAAGCGCGCTTCTTGCCAGCCAATAAATAGCAAGCGCGCTTCTTGCCAGCCAATAAATAGCAAGCGCGCTTCTTGCCAGCCAATAAATAGCAAGCGCGCTTCTTGCCAGCCAATAGCAAGCGCGCTTCTTATCAGCCAATAGCAAGCGCGCTTCTTGTCAGCCAATACCAAGCGCGCTTCTTGTCAGCCAATAGCAAGCACGCTTCTTGTCAGCCAATAGGAAACACGCTTCTTGTCAGCCAACACCAAGCATGCTTCTTCTCAGCGCATGAACAAGAATTGGCTCTTCAATAAATATTAATAAAGCCTAATATTAACCACTTCCCGTCCGGCCCATGTCCATAAACGGCGAGACGGGAGCAGTGCAGGGGCGGGGGGGCGTTTATAATCATTCACTGCCTGTGCGCTCCCTGGGAGATTTATGAAAAAAGATTATTAGCAAAAAGAAACACACTTTTTTCAAAATCTTTGGATTTTTTTTTATTTTATATAGCAAAAAAATAAAAATCCCAGCGGTGAATAAATACTACCTCTTGCTCTCTCTGTCTTGCCCCTGAGGCATTATTCCTCCCACTGACACCAATGTTGGGGCACTATTCCTCCCACTGACACCAATGATGGGGCGCTATTCCTCCCACTGACACCAATGATGGGGCGCTATTCCTCCCACTGACACCAATGATGGGGCGCTATTCCTCCCACTGACACCAATGATGGGGCGCTATTCCTCCCACTGACACCAATGATGGGGCGCTATTCCTCCCACTGACACCCATGATGGGGCACTATTCCTCCCACTGACACCCATGATGGGGCACTATTCCTCCCACTGACACCAATGATGGGGCACTATTCCTCCCACTGACACCAATGATGGGGCACTATTCCTCCCACTGACACCAATGATGGGGCACTATTCCTCCCACTGACACCAATGATGGGGCACTATTCCTCCCACTGACACCAATGATGGGGCACTATTCCTCCCACTGACACCAATGATGGGGCACTATTCCTCCCACTGACACCAATGATGGGGCACTATTCCTCCCACTGACACCAATGATGGGGCACTATTCCTCCCACTGACACCAATGATGGGGCACTATTCCTCCCACTGACACCAATGATGGGGCACTATTCCTCCCACTGACACCAATGATGGGGCACTATTCCTCCCACTGACACCAATGATGGGGCACTATTCCTCCCACCGACACCAATGATGGGGCACTATTCCTCCCACCAACACCAATGATGGGGCACTATTCCTCCCACTGATACCAATGATGGGGCACTATTCCTCCACTGACACCAATGTTGGGGCACTATTCCTCCCACTGACACCAATGATGGGGCGCTATTCCTCCCACTGACACCAATGATGGGGCGCTATTCCTCCCACTGACACCAATGATGGGGCACTATTCCTCCCACTGACACCAATGATGGGGCACTATTCCTCCCACTGACACCAATGATGGGGCACTATTCCTCCCACTGATACCAATGATGGGGGGCACTATTCCTCCCACTGACACCAATGATGGGGCACTATTCCTCCCACTGACACCAATGATGGGGCACTATTCCTCCCACTGACACCAATGATGGGGCACTATTCCTCCCACTGACACCAATGATGGGGCACTATTCCTCCCACTGATACCAATGATGGGGCACTATTCCTCCCACTGCCACCAATGATGGGGCACTATTCCTCCCACTGCCACCAATGATGGGGCACTATTCCTCCCACTGACACCAATGATGGGGCACTATTCCTCCCACCAACACCAATGATGGGGCACTATTCCTCCCACTGATACCAATGATGGGGCACTATTCCTCCACTGACACCAATGATGGGGCACTATTCCTCCCACTGACACCAATGATGGGGCACTATTCTTCCCACTGACACAAATGATGGGGCACTATTCCTTCCACTGACACCAATGATGGGGCACTATTCCTGCCACTGACACCAATGATGGGGAACTATTCCTCCCACTGACACCAATGATGGGGCACTATTCCTCTCACTGACACCAATGATGGGGCACTATTCTTCCCACCGACACCAATGATGGGGCACTATTCCTCTCACTGACACCAATGATGGGACACTATTCCTCCCTCTAACCCCAATAATGGGACACTATTCCTCCCACTGACACCAATGATGGGGCACTATTCTTCCCACCGACACCAATGATGGGGCACTATTCCTCTCACTGACACCAATGATGGGACACTATTCCTCCCACTGACACCAATGATGGGACACTATTCCTCCCTCTAACCCCAATGATGGGGCACTATTCCTCCCACTGACACCAATGATGGGGCACTATTCCTCCCACTGACACCAATGATGGGGCACTATTCCTCCCACTGACACCAATGATGGGGCACTATTCCTTCCACTGACACCAACTATTTCTCCTCCAAATACCAAAGATGGACCATTGTTTACTCCCACTGGGCACAGTCCGGCCCCCCTAAAGTCAGAAGGACAGTAAACTAGCCCTTTGCTTAAAAAGTTTGGAGACCCCTGGTTTAGAGAATGCCAAAGCTCAACTCAAGCTGTGAAAAGGAAAAGAATCAATGTAAGCTCTATGCATTGGTCCAGGTTGGGAATTGATGGTTCTCAGGTGTGGTTAGTAGTCAATCTTGTCTTTAGGGTATCCCTTAGGCTACGTTCACACTAGCCTTGTGTGCAGGCGGCAGAGAGGCGTTTGGGAAGCGTTTTTACCGCTTCCCAAACGCCTCTGCCAATTCTGCACATTACAGCACATGGTGCTGTTCTAACGGGAGCGTTTGCGTCGCGGCAAAACGGACGCCTCTGGACGAGTCAGGAGGCTTTGAAGCCTCCTATTCTCGTCTATGGTGCCGCTCCGCAAACGCCCGGCCGGCGTTTGCGACGCGGTTGCGGGGCGTTTGCGGAGCGGTAACACCACTCAAACTGCATTATAGGCGTTTGTGGGGCGTTATTAACGCTTGGCAAACGCCTAGCAACCGCCGCTAAACCGCGCATGCGGCGTTTGCGGAGCGTTTGCCGAGCGTTAAAAAACGCTCCGCAAACGCCGGACCAACGCTTGCCAAACGCTATAGGGGCGTTTGGCAAGCGTTGGCAAAACAGCCTAGTGTGAACGAGCCCTTAGCGCTGTGCTTAGCCCAACAAAGTGCTAATGATAATGAACTAGGTCTTTGTGCCCATTATTTTACCTTTTGTGCAGTTTGCTTTCTGATTTGGCTGACAGATGGGTGCAACACGTGGTAAAAATGTCATTCCCTTTTCCTCATAGAAATTGAACCATCAGTGCTAGAGGTCAAACTAATTTCCAACATGTCCAAAAATATATGAATGTGACAAGAAGCAGTTCCCAAAATTGAAAATGCTCACTATTATTATTATTATTATTATACAGGATTTATATTATTATTATACAGGATTTATGGCGCCAACAGTTTGCTCAGCGCTGTACAATATAACGGGAGACAATACAGCAACAATACAGTTCAATACAAGAGGGATAGGAGGGCCCTGATCCTGGGAGCTTACAATCTAAGAGGGAGGGGCTGGTGGTACAAGAGGCAATAACTGTGGGGGATGGACTGATGGGAGAAATAGAAGATTCGGTTATTAGCTGAAGGCAGGATAGGCTTCCATGAAGAGAGATTTTCAGAGATCACCTAAAAGTGGGCAGAGTAGACGATAGTCTGATGGATTTGGGTAGAGAGTTCCAGAGGATGGGGGAGGCTCTGGAGAAGTCCTGGAGATGAGCATAGAAGGAGGAGACAAGGGAGCTAGAGAGCTGGAGGTCGTGGGAGGAGCGTTATTGTTAATGTTTTGAATGTTATTCTTTGGGCAATGGGAAGCCAGTGCAGGGATTGGCAGAAAGGGATGGAGGACACTGAGTGGAGGTCAGTGGAGGGATTGGTGGAGAGGGGTGGAGGACACTGAGTGGAGGGATTGGCAGAGAGGGGTGGAGGACACTGAGTGGAGGCCAGTGGAGGGATTGGCAGAGAGGGATGGTGGACACTGGGTGGAGGTCAGTGGAGGGATTGGCAGAGGGGGTGGAGGACACTGAGTGGAGGTCAGTGGAGGGATTGGCATTGAGGGATGGTGGACACTGGGTGGAGGTCAGTGGAGGGATTGGCAGAGGGGGTGGACACTGAGTGGAGGTCAGTGGAGGGATTGGCAGAGAGGGGTGGAGGACACTGAGTGGAGGTCAGTGGAGGGATTGGCAGAGAGCGGTGGAGGACACTGAGTGGAGGTTAGTGGAGGGATTGGCAGAGGGGGTGGAGAACACTGGGTGGAGGTCAGTGGAGGAATTGGCAGAAAGGGATGGAGGACACTGAGCGGAGGTCACTGGAAGGATTGGTAGAGAGGGATGGCAGATACAGAACGGTTAGTAAGGTGGATGAGTCTGGCAGCAGCATTCATGATAGACCGAAGAGGGGATAGCCTGCGATGAGGTCAGCCAATGAGGAGGGAGTTACAATAGTCAAAACGAGAGATAACAAGGGAGGGAATAAGTTGCTTAGTAGTTTCTGAGGTTACAAACGGGCGTATCTTGGAGATGTTGTGGAGTGAAGTCTACAAGATTTGGACAGCGATTGGATTTGGGGCTGAAAGGACAGATGGGAGTCCAGGATTACACCTAGTACCCTGGCATGAGGGTACTCATGGTTCTATCGTCACACCTTGTGCTGCCCATTTGTTGGAAATGATGCTGGTATCAAAAACACACTAGGCAAAATGCAATGTGGATTAATCAGTTACATCCCATGCTGTCCTATTAACTCACCAAGGCAGGTGGGCAGTGTCAGTACCGCCATGGAACCGTGCTGATTCTTGTGGGTCATCGAGCAGATGAGATGCACAAATAGAGGTGGCATTTCGTGCTCCGGCAAGTCTTGTCCATTCAGAGAGTCTCCTCCTAAGACGCTGAAAGAATCATCGTCCTGGTTCACGGTCTCCGATTCTGATAGCGATTCAGCATTATCTGAGTGCTCCCGATACTCCACCTCCAGGTCTGGGTCACTCTCGGTAACAATGCCACCGGCTGATGTATTACCTGTGATGACAAAGACAATCAGAAACAAATCCAGCTCACCTGAATACTGAAGTCATCAATGACCATGCTTCACCTTCTTCCATGGCCTGTTCTGCCTCGGAGACCTCCAGGTCTTCACTTGGTTTCCTATCTCCTCTGTCTTGAGCAGCATTCTCCTGTGAGGGTGAGAAAGTGAACATACAAGGAATTCAGTGGCTGCAGCCGGTGATCAGGGTATTCCAACAGAAGAAGGTCCTACTGTTGGAATACAATGTCCTGCTGGGGAAATGTGGTGGTGGTGGGGTAATTTCTCTATCCTCCTTGTTTGTGTGGATGAAGGAATCTGTTGGTTTATTATGTTCAGCCTGCTGGCTGAAAGAAAAAAAATCAAAAACTGAAATGGATGTTGCATGCCCAGCTTGAGTTTCAGATGAAGTCTGAGTGGCCCGGTTATTCCCCATCTTCTCATATGCTCTATGGCCAGCTTTAGTTTTCGATGAAGTTCGAGTGACCGGTTCATTCCCCATCTTCTTTTGTCCCCTTGGACATTTTAGCATTGAGATCGTCCTGCTACGGTTTCAGATACGTCACCTATCCACCTTGGAGCCTCTTGTGTTCTCTTGTGGGCTTGGTGAGCAATCATTTTTATTTTTTGCAAAACATTAGTATCGTGTTGGGCTGTCTGGTATCCCTACCACCTTGGTGGGGTCTTTTCTCTAAACAAATCTATTTTGATATGTCTCTCCTCTTTAGTGAGATATCTTACATTTTCATAAAAAAAAAAAAAAAACACAAATGTACACAGCAATGGTTAAAAAACTAGGATTCGACTAATGTGTACATTTGTTTGTGTGGGGTTTTTTTTCTCCCCCTTTTAACATTCTGCTAATACTTTGTGAAGTAGTACTGCCTGGACCTTGAAGAAGGGGACATTCCCCGAAAGCTTGTCCTCAAAATTGTACGTTAGTGCAAATAAAAAAGTATCACGGACAGTCCTCAATTGTTTCTGTCGCAAATGCACTAATACGGCTACAATCACCTGAAACAGTCATGTGGCTGTAATTTTCAAACCTTACTGATATTAAAAGCAGAACTAAAATCTCCACATTTACTTTTCCTTTAACCCCCCTGGCGGTATTCCTGAGTGTAGTTCGGGGTAAAGTTTCAGCAGCACAAGCGGTAACCCCGAGCTACACTCAGGAATACACTGCAGCGTTGCTCCGGGATCTCTTCTTCACTTACCTTGTCCTGCGCTCCCGCGATGTCCCCCCTGCAGGGTCCTTTGGCCGATGCCGGCATCTGTCTTCCGGGTTCTGTTCCCTGCGACGTCGTGATGTACGGGGGACGGAACAGCGGGAAATTTAAAAATGTGAAAAAGTGACATTCACTAAAATCACATAGTATTCCATTCCTGTATCAAACCATTTCACATACATTGTGTCCCGAGTGCTTTGTCCGGCGCCCTGCCTGCATTATTACTGTTCTTTCTGCCTGGAAACTGAGAAACGTCCATGGCGTCCAAAAAGCGTCCCTTTAGGTCAGACACGGTTTTAGACCGGCTAGAGAACAGCGATAGTAAATCAGAACCACTTGCAGAATTGAGTGATAATGATTGGTGGGGGAAATTCCTCATCAGACACTGAAAACGATTCGGCGACTGAGCTCAGCGATGTGCGAACTTGGCGCTCTATTTCACATTTCAGTGTTTTTGGTTTGATTACATTATTGAATTATATTTATTATTAGATTATTTTTTATGATTATTAAATTATAATTTATGATTTCGTGTTTCAAAGTTTTATCCTCCCCGGGATGTTTACTAGACTCTTGTTCGGACAGATTTCAGTGAGTTATTCATAAAAATTGCAGGCCTGCAATAAAAAAAAATACATATTTCCATGCAAAAAAATGTACCGCTTTGAGCACAGAAATATGGACATAATCAGACCGCTAGGGAGGTTAACGGTCCGAAATCCATCACCGGCATATTCTATCCGGCTTTTGGCGAGTGCCAGGCTGCAGCTGTCTTCATTGGCCAAAGTGTGATGATGTCCCTTCCTGCGCAGGAGTTCGGTCATCCCGGCACACAGGCACTGTGCTGGAATGTAAACAGAGCTGTGCTTTCTCAGCTTACAGTGCATTCCAAAGACGACTGAGAGCAAGCAGGTTTATTTCATTGCAGAAGAGACATTGTGGGGTTGATTTCCAAAAACTGGAGCACTCAGAATCTGGTGCAGTTGTACATGGTAACCACATTCTAACTTGTTCTATGAAGCTTTGACGATAAAACCTGGAAACTGATTGGTTTCTATGCAGAGCTGCTCCAGAAGTTGCACTCTGCAGTTTTACTGAACAACCCCCTAATGTTTCTTCTGCATATAGTTACATACCGTATTTTTCGCCGTATAAGACGCACCTGACCATAAGACGCACCTCGGTTTTAGAGGCAGAAAAAACAGGAAAAAAAAATTCTGAACTAGTGGACTGCAGACACAGTACAGGAGATGACCAGAGACTGCGGACACAGTACAGGGGATGACCAGAGACTGCGGACACAGTACAGGGGATGACCAGAGACTGCGGACGGCACAGGGATGACCAGAGACTGCGGACGGCACAGGGATGACCAGAGACTGCGGACGGCACAGGGATGACCAGAGACTGCGGACGGCACAGGGATGACCAGAGACTGCGGACGGCACAGGGATGACCAGAGACTGCGGACGGCACAGGGATGACCAGAGACTGCGGACGGCACAGGGATGACCAGAGACTGCGGACGGCACAGGGATGACCAGAGACTGCGGACGGCACAGGGATGACCAGAGACTGCGGACGGCACAGGGATGACCAGAGACTGCGGACGGCACAGGGATGACCAGAGACTGCGGACGGCACAGGGATGACCAGAGACTGCGGACGGCACAGGGATGACCAGAGACTGCGGACGGCACAGGGATGACCAGAGACTGCGGACGGCACAGGGATGACCAGAGACTGCGGACGGCACAGGGATGACCAGAGACTGCGGACGGCACAGGGATGACCAGAGACTGCGGACGGCACAGGGATGACCAGAGACTGCGGACAGTACAGATGACTGCTGACCTTTGGGGAGGTGGGGAGCGGGTACCTGAATTTGACAGGTACCCGCTCTTACTTCCGCAGAGTTTTTATTTGATCTTACCTGTTCCTCGATCCAGCGGCGCGCGGTCTTCTCGGCTTCTGTAATGGCGCTCGGCATGACAGCCGGGTGCCCAGTGCGCATGAGCGAGAAGCACTTGCGCTTTGTGATTGGTCCGGCGGCTTCTGGGATCTGTCATGTGTCCCAGGTACCGCCTTACCATTCACAAAAAGCACCGCTTCTTGCGCATGCGCACTTGGCACCCGGCTGTCATGCCCACTGCCCACACTACAGAAGCCGGGAAGACAGCACGCCGCTGGATAGAGGAACAGGTAAGGTCCCACTGCAGAGCGGAGCGGCCGGCCCGGTATTCTGACACGGCCGCGGTGGAAATACCGGACCAGCCGCTCCATATTCGCTGCATAAGACGCACTGACATTTCCCCCCCAGTTTTGGGGAAGAAAAAGTGCGTCTTATACGGCGAAAAAAATACGGTATATAGTTAATCTGGCTGAAAAAAGAGAAAAATCCATCCAGTTCAACCATTAAAAAAAAAAAAAAAAAAAAAAAAAGTTATAATCCTACACCCACAGATGATCCAGAGGAAGGCAAAAGACCCAGCAAAGCACGATCCAATTAGCTCCTGCAGGGAAAAAAATTCCTTCCTGATCCCCCGAGAGGCAATCGGATATTCCCTGGATCACCTTTCCCTATAAATGTTATATCCAGTTATATTCTGTGTATCCAAGAAAGGATCCAGGACTTTCCTACAGCAATCCACTGAGCTGGCCACAACCAACTCTGGAGGGAGTCTATTCCACATTCTCACACCTCTTACTGTGAAGAAACCTTTTTGTGCTCCGATATGAAGAATCTGCCCGCACATTGTCTTTAAATTTGGGACATTAATTCTGCTTTAACTTAAAATAACTTACTTTTTTTTTTTTTTTAAATCAAGGATTCTGATGTTTTATCTTTGAGAAATGAATCTTAAAATGTATTGTTATTACATTTTATTTTGTCACAGCTAAAACAGACTCACCATTCTATAAGGGCTCATGTACACTGCAGCTGATAAACGGACGTTCAGGAGCTGTTCAGCATTTTTTTCAGCAGCCCCTGAAATCTCCCTAATGTTTTCCTATGTTTCCATGTACACATCTTCGTCTACAG